CCAACCGGGCTCACATCTCGTTGAATTCGGCCCCAAATCACAGTTAAAGAAGCATTTTATACAAATCTGGTCTGCCACATCATCACATCATTACATCATACACGTTTGTAAATGAGGAGACATCCATGGCTCCAGCCTAATCAAAGTATTACACTATGTTCTTAGATCAAGGCTCTCATTCATTCCCAAATCTTTGAAATGTACGTAATGAAGATGACTTTTTATCCTGATTGAGGAACTATCCCAATTAGATAAACTACTTAGGAAAACTTTAGTTCTGACATAAAACAGGCAGGTATTACGAGGGTATTGTTAGGGATTTGTTAGGTAGGTTAAAAATATATTTCTTTCACCCCATCTAATAATCTTTAAAAATTACTGTTGTTTCGTATTTAACTTAATTATTCATAGATCTTACATCTCAGTGTTAATTTCTCTCCATTCTATACATCAGATTCATTGGGTTCTTACATCACTGTTGGCTAAGAAACTGTTCACAGTTCAGAGTATTACATAAAAAAACAGTTTCTGAATGATTGTCATTGGTACCAAGTGATAACCTAAAAGTAGACAAACCTCAAAATATGACGACACATTTTAGAATGAGTTTAGTAAAACAAGCACATTTTTAACAATCATTTTCGATGATAAAAACACACAAGTTCTTATAAACTTATATATGAAAGCCATAGTTTTATGTGATCATTTATTCCAGTACTCATTCTGATCAGTAAAACTGTAATTTGATGAAATAAAAAAATACTGAACACCTAGGGAAAAGAAATAAAATTAAAAAAAGGGAGCATATAAACGCTTTATGCTGTTCACATCAAATGCGTTTTGAGAGTAGAGCAGTGGTGTCAAAAGAACACATATTTGTTACTTAAGTAGAAGTATAGATACTGCAGTTTAATACACTGGTAAAAGTTGAAGTATCAACTTGACCTCTTTACTCAAGTAAAAGTGAAAAAGTGTGTGCTCCAAAAACTACTTAAAGTATAAATGTATAAAGTAACCTTTAACATAAAATACCCAGATGCCACTATATGGATTGAAAGCTCAATTTTTCGACTATTTTGAGAATTTCTTTAAGATAGGGCCAAGGATGAGGGAGGTCTTGTTGGTTTCTGTCTCCATCTCCTGATACGCTCTCGCCTGTGTCCGACCTTTCAGACATTTCATCATCTTTTTCTGAATCCAACATTATAGCATGGCATAGACAATTCACGTTTACAGTTTGAAGAACACCTGTTTACTTCTGAGGCTTTCATTTACCTAACCAATGAGTGTTTGCGTTATATGACTCATCCAATTACACTAGCTTTCACTAGATGTTGATGGCGCCAATGATCTGCATTGGATGGAGCACATGACGTGAAATAAATATTTATAAACATTAAACCAGGGGTAACCAATTGAAAAACAGCAGGGTTTGAATAAAGAAAACCATCAACCAGTAAAGGTCCAGAGACATTTTCAACGATCTGTTACTTTAAACAGAATTTAACACTGAAATAAAATTAGGTGTTTATGCATTCATGTTATAAATTGAATTTTTAAATAAAAGACTATAAATAAAAAAAAATGTTTTAAAGTAGAGAACAACAATCTTTCAGTTTGGTATATAGACAATTTCCTGATTCAACTTTGTTATTTTTTTTCTTTTTTCTGACATAATGAACCAGTGGGCTTTATGCTGCCCTGCGAGGCTTTAAACCTGGGTTTGAATGGAGACAAAGCCATTCTCAAGCACCTCAAGTTGCTCATTTTTAACCTGGATTCATATTTATTTTTGATTCTGTTCATGGTGGAGAATCCTGCTTCACAGTAGCAGGTTGATCCAAACATATTCTAAATGACCGCTCCGGTCCGGCCAGGTCAAGTTCCGCAATTGCAATCGCACCAAACAGGAATAAGAATGGCAAAAAGATCCGGTTTGACAAACTGAAATATAGTAACAACAGATCGGTAATATATTTTAAAAATCTAACACAGTTTATTTAAAAGATTGGATGTAAACTACTGGTTCTTCAACATCCCAGGAAACAGATTTCTGATCTCCATCAAAAAACGCACATATGCTGGATGCTGATGGGGATTTTTTTAATATGTCATATTAAATTAAGTGAATTAAGTTCATTTCTGCATGTTTTGCTCCTACGAATTTAATGACAATATAGCACATACTCTCCTAAAGCTCAGAGAATAAGTCGGAGCGCAGCAATACAGGAGGAGCAGCGGAGCCTGTTTTCGACCTTTCAGACATTTCAACATCTTTTTCTGAATCCAACATTGTACCATGGCATAGACAATTCACGTTTACAGTTTGAAGAACATCTGCTTGCTTCTGATGATTTCCAATGACCAATGACTCTGTCATGGTTTTGATTTTGTTCTGGTTTTAACTCTGAGTTTTCATTGGTCTTATTTTTCATTCTTGTGTTCTAGTTATTTTTTTATTGTATTTGAGTTTTTAGATATTTCCTGTTTTCCCTCTTATTTCAGTCTCCTTTCCCGTAGCTCCCTTCTTCACTCCTCTGTTCACACCTGCTCCCAATCTGCTAATTAGCCGGGTCTTTGTTTCTCTCTCCCATTTATTCTCCTCCTGCTTAGTCACTCTTTGCTGGTTTGTTGACATTACTTTGTTCCCTTCTTGTTGTGAGAATTCTTAGTTTTGAGCATTTTTAGATTTTTGTGGATTTATATTTTGGTCTGAATTTGGGTCCTGTTACATGACTCATCCAATTACACTAGTATTCACTAAATGTGGAAGGCATCATTGATCTGCATTGGATGGTGCACATGACGTGAAATAAATATTTAGAAACATTAAATCAAAGCCAAGAGTAACAAGTAAGGTTTGCTCTAAAAATGTAAGGAATATAAAATACAGAAACTTGTGTGAAAATGTAATGAGTAGAAGTCATTGTGTACTTAAGTAGAGTAAGCATGCAAAGGCTATGGTAGATGTCATCAAGATGAGTCGAGAAGTCCTGCAGTATGGCAAGCCGTTGATATCATTAATCCATACATTAATTTACATTTTTAATCCGTGAATAATGGGATGTGGTGCAGGAACAGGAGATCCCTGATCTTTGGGGAATGACAGGATGAGCATGCATCTGGTAACCTGTTTCTGTCTAATCACACTGACCTTAATAATAAAGTCTGATATAAAACAAAACTCTCTATTTGTTCTCCTTGGACAACAAGATTAAATCCTTTTTAAGAGGCTATGAATTATTAATGTAAAACAATACCAGGATCTGATTGCACATAAAAACCCTTCAGAAAAACTGTCTCTATCGAGTACACTGGTGTATTTTATCTATATTTTTTTCTTTTAACGTGCTCCATGTGTGAACTTACTGTATGCTTCGGTAGTACCTCAGGTTGAAGATGATATGATATATCTATATTAAAAAGATACAGTGTTTATTGTCTTGTGGTTTCTCTCATATGACAGCAGATGATATAAATGGTTGAAATCCTGAGAGTGAGATTAAACTGAAATCTCAATCCATATGGTATAACTTGACTTTTAAATGTCTATCTAGAACATTTATTGTTAGGACCATCATTGATCAGCTTTAACATCTTAAATGTTCATGAGTACAAAGAAGAGGCATTTGAAGTAAACTCAAATTGTGCCTTTTATGACTAGGGGCTAATATGT